CCGTCTTTGAATTTAGCCGTATTTCTTGAAAAATTATTTTTATACGAAGAAGCGTTGACAAATCGCTTCTGAGCGACATTATTTTCGTTCGCTTAGCCGAGTAGGCGTGAGCGGAGAAAGAGAAGGTGTCCCTTTGACGGCAACGATCTTGGCGCTGGGGTGATAACTCGTGGGCGTAATTGTTACATCATGGATCCGTGGAGGACGAATAAGCGGTACTCCACGAAAGGACGGATCGTAAGAGAGGAGAGACGCGAAGGCGGAGGAAGGTATGCAAGGTACCACCGGTGGCCCTACAATAGACGGCATTAAATCTGCAAAAGAGAGGTGGCTCGCTGTGCTCGCGGCGCGGAAAGCGACGAGCTGGAGCCGGAATCCAGGCGCAAAGGAAGCAGATACAATTCACAATAGACTCGGCGAACCGGCGCGGAGATCAAACGCCACCCCCAACGGGAATTACCGACGTCCATAACTGAACGTGAAACGACGAGTGTTAAAAGTTAGATCACTTCGTGCGTCTGTATTTGCGTTCGATGTCGCTTCTTGTCACTCGACGGTGGAGCGCGTGCCGCGAGATATGATCCTTTGGCTAGGTTCTGCGTTTACCTTTTCTCGTCGGTCAAATATATTTAGAATAGAAAAAAAGTCGAATTTTTGTTAGATCGAGAGCATAGAGGATGAGAGTAAAAAGGGATTTGTATGAATAGATTTTATAGATATCATTCATATATTTTTCTTCACGATGGGTATCGCATATATTAATGATTGTTTCTCTCTCTCTCTCTCTCTCTAGATTTTTTAAATTTTACATTCTAATTTTAATTCAAATTTTAATAATAATGATAGTCAATAATTATATAAAAATAAAAAATTTGACAATCTTTAAGGTTTAGATAAATAGTTTAGATAGAAATTTTTAAGAGTAAAAAAGTTAGGTATAAGGTTAATATTTTTTTATATCGTTTCAACTGGATCGTCTAATCGTTGATATATATATAATGTTCTCGATATGTAATATTGATGTTCTCGGCAATATATGATCGATTGAGACACATGAGTCGAATGGCAAAATTAATTCTCGATGGTGTAACGCGATGGGATAATGCTTCAAATTGACGCAAGCTTCCTCTCAACAACATAAAGGGGAATGAATCTCTCAACGCTGATTCTCCAAGGGAGGACAGGGTATCCAAGGACGTCGTTATTGGCCCCTGAGGCCATATCGCGTATTGTTGTCTCCGGATAAAACGAAGAATCACTGAATTTTATGAGATAAACGAGGCGAAGGTTGTGGAGGTAATTCGTACGGTTTGAATTTTGACAGCCAGTATGGGAATAAGGAGTCCTAAGATCATACGCAAGAATGAGATATAAATGAAAAAATATTAATTGCCCAATTTTTTTTACATACGTAACATTGTAGAATATATGATTATATAATAATTGTATACATATTACAAAATTTTTCTTTTAAATTTTATAAATTACGTATAGATTTTGATAATCTCTAATTTAATTTATACACTTCTATTCGATTGTTAACTCGCGGTTTCTGCGACATATTTTTTTGGAATATTACTGCGGCAAATCAAAACAGTTGAAACAGTGTAATGCAAATTTAAAAAAAATTCTTATATGAAAGTGATTTTTGTGATAATACACATAGATTTCTATGGAGTGGATTGCCACTCTTTTTTCGACTTTTACGGAGATGACAACGACGTAATTTAGCAGACACGAGAAGATCGCCACGCGACGGCGACAAGGGGTGGCGAAGGGGTTTGCGCCGCTCTTTCGTGGTTGTATATATCAGGGGCGTCGCGTTATTGGCCCCCCAGGCGCAACCGGGCTTTGTCGACTGGCACGCCGCGAGCCGGATAAATCGAACCCCAAGAATTGCTGACTTTTATAGGATAAACGGAATAAAGACTACTTCTTTCGTGCAAACTAATGTATACACACGTACATACACATATATATTGTATGTGTGTTATGTATAGTAGCGTGTATAGTGAGCTGTAGGTATATCTCTATGAATCTGCACGAATTAAAAGTCGAATGAATAGTAATCGATCTGAATATGCAACTGGATGTGATCAAATATTTTTTAACGATTCATATAAAATTATTTTTACAATCTTTATTTGCTTGAAAATGTTAAACCTTTTATACTTATATTTTTTTATAATTGATGTTTAATAAGAGGAATCACTTAAAAAATAGGCAAACAAAACGAAATGTGAATCAAATGCAAAAGAAGATTCTGTTCGCATTTCATTATGGCATATATTTTTCGAAACTTCAAACAGCGAAAATTCGCATTTTATTTTCTTTCATCTTAAAACTATTTTCTGGAGATAGAAATTCTCTCGTTTATAGATTCTTTCCTTTTCTTTATCTTTCTCTACCTCTTTGTTGAATCTGAACATTTCATTGATTTGATTTACTGTTTATTTATATCGTGTTCATTTTTTTATTATAAATTATTGTGCACTGAAATCTTTTCAAGTATTTTTGCAAAAATTTTCTGTTTTTATTTTAGCTTTTTATTTTAGTTCTTATTTGATTTATAGGAAGAAAAATATATTTTTATAATATTAAATAAATAAATATATTTTAAAATAAATACATAATTAAATTTTTGCATATGTTTTTGTAAAAAAATTAATATTTTGTATATTTATGCATTTGTATATTTGTATATACATTTATATATTTTAGTATGATACTTAAGAAGGATACATATTCTTCTAATTTTCTTCAACATATTGGGGAGTAGCACTTTGAGAAATCTATTTTTTATCGTCACAACAATCGAGTATCGATACCATATTTGCATGATAAAGCCGACTATGAGGGAAGCGGAGATGAGATCAAACACCCACGCTTTTATATAGATGGCGACGAACATTTTGTACGATTAAATCAATGCAGAGATTCGACAACTCGTTTTATCGAGTATAAGTCGCATGAACTTATATCACATGAATGATAAAACAAATTGTATTGCTACATTTTTAAACAAAAAAATTTTAATATTATAAAAATTGCGTAATTTTTTTTATAAAATAAACTTTTCATTTCTAAAGTCATTTCTATTGTAAGTGTGATTAGATTCTGTTAATAAGAAACACGAGTTAATAATTAATCTATGACGAAAATCTTGAAAAATGCAAAATTTTTTTTTTAATTATTAATATTAAAGTAAAATTTCGAAAATATATAACATTTCTATTTTATATTTAATACGCACAAATTTAATTTATGTATACATTATAATACATACATATAATATTTCTTTTATACTATAAAATATCTCAAAATTATTGCTCTTTTTTTAATCATAATTTTTAGTTGATTTTTTGAGACTATTTTTCCTTAGCAAAAATATCTGAGATAAACTTAAATATTTTGCATTATCTTTGTAATAAAGTTTTAAATTAAAATTTTATTAAAACTACTTAAAACTGATGAACAAATATGATTTTATCATTTTGAAGAGTTTTTTTTTATTTAACTAAAAACTATTTTTAAATTAACTTTAAAAATTGTAAATGTACAGAGACCATTCACATAAATTTGTCATACGACTAGTTATATATTACGAACGTCTAACGAATACCTAACAAATTAACACGAGGAATTAACCTAAATAATCTTAAGTCAATTACAGAACACGATTATAGGATGGATTGTATTCTATTGTATAGGTGATTGCATAGGTAATAATTGTCAGTTAACTGTCAGTTATGTCTTTTCTGATAAGCAGCTTAAAAAGGACAAGACTTCTTAGCCATTATGTACAATGGTTATAAAATTAGAATGTGGATTTAGGATTGCTGCATATTTACAAAGGATATATTGTTCTAGAAGTAGCACGATAATAGACAGAATTAACGATGTCTCATTGAATGAAAACCGCATTTAATGTTTATTTTTTTATCATACATTCTTTTTTCGAAGAAAGTTCTTTCTCACATACCTGCTGGTTTTTTCAAGTCTACATTATTGCACACAATTGACATATCTTTGAGAATTTTTGTCAATAGTGTTGTATTATCCGTCGTTCGGAATTTTGTCTTTTAAAACTTTAAGAAAATACGCGATATAATAATAAGGAAATCGAGAAAGATTAAATAGAGAAATATATTAGCGATATTGCATGTTTTCACATTTTGCAATGGCATACATTTTATTAACTAAATTGTATTCTTGTTATTTATTTAATAAGCAAATCAGTATATGAACAAAGAAATGAATGATGCATTAATTGTTTCTTCCTAATTTGTTTTTATAAAGAACAGTTTAATAATAAATTTTTTTAAAATTATTGAACTGTTCTGAATTAATAAAGCAAAGTGTGTCATGCAGATTTGATCAAAAGTGACAATTTTATATAGTAGCATCGAATTAAATTAAAGTGCAGAATTCTCAAGAAAGTGAAATTATGCAATGACATTATTGTTATCGAATTAGCCGTAATCGTTGAAATTTCGCATCTCTGAATGGAAAGGAATATAAAACAGAAACGTGTAAATCTTTTGAATTTTTAAGATAATTTCTTAATCGGGAGAAGAGAATGAAAGGTAAGAAAAGACAAGGAATAGAAAGAATGTGATATGGAGAACGCAAAGGACGTAAAGAAGAAGAGAGACGGGAGGAATGAAGAAGATGCACGTAGGTCGATGGATCGAATGTAGAGGAACAGGAAACAGTCGGAAGGGCGAAAAGAGACAGTAAGAGGGCGGGCGGATAGAGAGGGAGAGAGAGACGGGTAGGGGAGCCAGAAAAAATCCGGGGATTTACGCGGAAAGGGCAAAATATTCCCCGCCCAGGCTTCATTCAGCCTCCGATTACGGGGTGGCTTTGGGTGAAAAGCATGCGCTTTCATTGGTCGAGGGGCTAATATGGCGGTGTTAGGGGTTGCAAGGTGGGGCGGGTGTACGCGATATTAAGGGCTGCTTTCATGTCCGACGAGCCAGTTCGTGGTGCGCCGTCGATTGACGCATTTTCCGTCGAGAAGGTGGAGAACGAAGCGTGAAGTATTCGACAATCTCCTGTGTCTCTCCTCATTCTCCATCCTTCTCAGATTCTCTCGCTTTTTCTTTACTCTCATACTTTCCTCCGGCTGGACCACACTATATTCGGAAGCACACGCGACTCGGCGGGAGATTCAATTTGCGCGCGTGCCACTCGGGAGACAATTTATGATTTGTCAGTGATTTTCGTGGATCGAGGACTGTTTCGTATTGCCACTTGTTTGCCATTGAATATCGCGAAACTTTGCGTCAGTGATTTTCGGGGAGAAAGATTTCTTTAGAATGGCCCAGACTTATAATCAAAAGAGAAATGTGTACACCATCGATCAGATATTGGGTCATGGCAAGGATGAAGGTATGATAAATTGTGTTTATCTATTTATATTTGTATGATATATTCTACTTTAGTTTTTTATTTTTGCCAATTGGTGGATTTAAGACATTTTAGGAGCGTACAAATTTAATTTTCTCTAGTACAGAAATATATATTAATCTATGTTAATAAAATGTGACGAATAAATATATAAGCATAGTTTACTTTAGATATACATTTTTACGAATTAAAATATTAAAAATTATCTTTAATTAAAAATATTTAACAGTTTATAACTACTTTATATAATGACAAATTTTAAGGTATTAAAAAAATAATAGTAATTTAGATAAATTAAACATTATATTTAGAAATCATTAAATTTGATTATGATTTGACGTATATAACATTTTTGTTGGAAAAGTTCATTATATTTATCTTTCATAATTATTATTGCTTTAGTAGTGGATAATCATATGAATATTTTTTATAGATTTATTATTTCTTACACATTTATAAATTTTTATAATATACTTGTACTATGTGTACTTGTATAAATAATAATAATAAGATTATAGGATCACAAAAATTATTCAATTTGCAATAGATAATTCTCTTTTACTTTATCGTATTTATCGTACCGCATTAGACAAAATAAGCTTTAGTTATAAATTAAATATTTTTTTCTGAGTTTATTAATTTATATATAGATATATATACACAACAATACTGCTTAGTATAATAAAACAATCATATCTTCATTCACGAAATGATTGTATGCAATCGTATATAATGATTGTCAGATCGCGATAAGAAGTCACTGTTACAATTTTTATTACCTTGATACCAATCGATCGTGATGCGATAGCGACACGAACATACTTTCTTTCTCATTATAATAACGTAGATTTTCTGAGAGGAGCATATATTGAGCGAACGAATAACAATGAGCGAATAGCAAATGCAAATTTTTACTGTTAAAATTTCAAGATGTTTTTGTTACAATAAATATACAAATAAAATATTGGTTAATATTCGATTCGCTTACATAGGATGATATACATCAAAAGAAGTTTAAAAAAAATTATTTTTATATTTATACATATTGCTCTCGTTAGATGTTTATTTGTTCGGTGTATATTTATTTCAAGATGATGTATCGTGAATAAAATGCGAATATTATCTGATAAGATTCATATCGTTCTATAATTTTTCAAATGACAACCAACCATGTTTTCAAAGTCATTAAGGATGACTAATTGCTGATTTTAATATCTATGTGTGAATCGCTACGCAAATATGAAACGTCTTTACGGGTTTTTAATTTATCAGAGAATTTTTATCTTCTTTAGGGGGGAAAATAAGAAAGGAAAAGATATAAATTAAAAATATTATATATATTTAAAATAATATATAAATTATTAAAATATGTGTATGTACGTATTCTAATTATATATTAAAATTATAAATTATATATTCTAATTATAAATTATAAATTTCTAATTTTTTGAATCAGAAATTGTTAAAATTTTTACAAATATTCCTCTATTTTTTAATAAAAAATATATATACATATATAAACTCGCAAAAAAACTCAAAACTGATATCCATATTTTTATGAAACAATAATAACTAAAAATACGTACGCACAAGTATATTTTAAATCTGAATCTTGAAAAATGAGGTATAATTGATATGAAGCTGCAAATTTGGACGATGTGAGAAAGAGCTTTATAACTTACATTGCCAATTTTAGGATTGCGCAATTAAAGGTAATGTTACGTAATTAGGTCGTCGTAGGTTACAGAATCTGTGGTGACAATCGGAATTTACTACAACGTGAATTTACTACACGATGTTATGCGACACGCGAGTGCGACATGCGCGCGGTTAGGCTGCGGAGAGAGGCACACGAAGAGGTAGATTGTTTCGCTGCATGCGCTTTGTAGAATCGTCACGGCATGATAAATCGTGTTATCGAATTTATAAAGAATTACGTTATTACGTCTACTCGCTACTAGTCGATTACAACCGTTTTATAGGCAAACAGATACGATCCCAATATATTTTTATTAAACGAACCAACTTTTTGGTCTTGCTTATAAAGGTATTTCTTAAATTTAAAATAGTCATTGAATCATATTTGAGATTAAAAAATATATTAGACAGATGTGAGATTAATATGTAGATGACTTTTTATTTGATCTCTCTCTTTCTCAAAATTAGGTACTTAATTAGGTATGTATTAGGTAATTAAATAGAAGATACTTAATAATTCCAAATCATGTTTTTTATAATGGCACACATCTATAAGTTATATAATTAAAGTAATGTATAATTAACATTAATTAGTTGAAAATATAATTTGTTCACATTATTAATGCTCTCGTAGAATATGCAAAAACAAATATGCAATTTACATATAATTCAAAGTCTAGTCATTACATATTTTATGAAAGAGAGATTTATATTATCTTATAATTAGTAATATTTTCTGGAAAGTCTAATAATTTAACTTAGAAGCGAATAAAAATGTTATTTTTGGCAATTAAGTTTTGCAAGCTTCAAAAATTATATATAATTATCTTAATTATTTTTATTTTATTTTATATTTACGTGTTTAATTTAATATATTCAATTTTAAATATAACTTTACGCTTAAATCAAGTTATAATTTAAAGATTAATTACAAAGGTATTTATAAACGAAATAATTACGATAGATAATGATCCCCCTTGACATTTTTATTAGAACATGTCAAAGTATATATACAGATATAAATATAAAGTGGCTCTCTCACACATTAGGTTTGCATATACAATTATATTCGTATATGTCAAGTACGCCGCTATTTTTAGATTGTCAACTGCAATGATTCAAAAATAGCATTGCTTTCAATATTATAATCTGAGATAATCGGCTCAACGATGATTTTATCTTGAATTGTGCTCGCGTTTTTTCTTTTTTTTTTTTTTTTTATAAAAAATACATTTTATAAAATGAGGATTTACTTAGTCTTCAATTTATATGCGATCAGTGATAACTGCTGTAACACGAATTTACGGCACGAAGTTACGACACGCAAAATTGCGTGTATACATCAGATGTACATTGTCTCTTTATATGTGCATATGCAATGTACAAATACAGAAATACTAAGTGTGACGTGCAAACGCTGGAAATTATATGTGAACAATGTGTGTTGCTCCACGGCTATCATAAATATATAAATTATTAGAAATATAATTTATGTATATTTGCAATGTTTGTATATTCTCGGACGAATCTACATCTATTATAATTCACGGTTAGTTTTAAAAGAGCAAAATAGCATTATATAATTCGTATTTGCCATAATGATGTGAATATTCTGCGGCCGTAAATATTTAATTTTTTCTATTATTATTAAAATAATGATACAATATATGATATCATCGTAAAATTCTAAATATAATGTTTAAAATAAATTATCCAAATTGAATTTTTGAATCAAAAAAAGATTACTAAATATTAATAATATAATATTACATATTTTATATTACATAATTTTTTCTTATTAAAAAATGAGATATATACATATTTGAACAATGAAATGTGTTCATATATTTATTTATATCTCTCTAGTTTATACAAAACATATTTATAACTTGATATTTTATTATGTATTTTTATATGGAAGAGAGAAAGAGAGAGAGAGAAAGATATATTTCTTTTATATAATATTTCTTACATTTTATAAATTTTTATAAACGCGTGTCCCACAACATTTTTTTTTGAAACGTGATCCCGTCACGTTTTATCCCGGAACACGCGGCTGCCGTATTAACGTAATTCTCCTTAAGGATTTTATTAGATTTTCAGTGTAAAGTCCTCGGCCACTTGTAATCCGCTCCTGTCTCACGAAAGTATATTTCACCGACTGGCCAGTCGCGATCCGGACAGACATAAATCCCTTTTAACGCTTAACGCTTAGACACATAATCCGCATAGGCGCCTTACAGGAAGAACGATCCTTTTTAGAGCGACCTGGACGCAAAATTTGAAAAACACTTTTGTTATGCGTACTCTAATTATTGCGAAGACAAGTGGAATTTACGTACGCACTAGGACAAATTATTGAAAAAAAGATTTCTCATCTTTTGTATAAGATTGATTATTTTCACAGGGGAAACTTTTCGAGGGGAAAACGACGAGATTGACTACTTTGAGTTGCGGAGACTTTAACTGCGTATTCGCGTCAGAGGTGTGATTTTGAAAAGATTTCGTAGGAGATTTTATTACATCAAGGAAATTTCATTGCAAGAAATTTTGGACGATCTCGAATCTTTTAGATATCTTTAGATATAGCCAAGTGCATCTAAGTGACAATACTGATTTTTGTTTTCTTTCTCGGTAGCATTATTTCTGTTTTCTTTCTTAATAGCATTATTTCTTTGAGGTCTTTAGATTTTTTGCATTATATACTCAATATAATCTAGATAAATAATTTATATGTTGTGTCATAATATTTTATTTTTATATATTATAATTCTCACATATTATACGTAAATGCTTGAACGCTTATAAACATTATATCATATTAGGAATGACAGTTTAAGAGAATTATTATTTTCTAGGAAAAAATTTGCGTAGGCGCGAAAGTGCGAATATATAAAGTATCCTCTGTAACGCGAAATGAAGGATCTTATCGTAAGAAAAGGGTGCATGTTCACCGCTTATTATTATTTCCGTGATTAATACTGTTAAGTAGTTATCATATAATACAATTTATATTTATAAATTTCCCCGAGTTTCTCTACTAATCTTCACAAACGTTATCTAAAGGCTCTCATCGTCACAATCATTGATACAATTTTCTCGGCAATTTCTTCGACTTCATGACGGAATAATTGGCGACATGGGCCTGCGATCGGCACGGTAAATAAATTTTTAATTTCGCCGTTACGAGCGTCACCCTCTCGGCTATCTCTACCTACCCTATCCTGCCTTGGTCGTCTGGTCTACATCAGGCGTCGGCGCACCGTAGATTTAATAAAAAGCAATGGAGAGCTAAGCATCAAGTGGGTACTCCATTGTGCCCCGACATAAAAACATTGAAATCTCTCTATTCAGCTTGGATTAGTACGACGATGCCCCTCTCTCTTTCTCCCTTTCTCTCTCTCTCTCTCTCTCACGTACGCGTGCGAAAGCCCATGCGTGCACACAAACATAATATGCGTGCGTATAACGTGCGCCGGCGGGCAATGTGCACGCTTACGTTTTCAATCGTTTCTCTCGGTTCATCCTATCACAACTGCTCGCCATGTATCGACACCGAAAAGTAGGATTAGCATTATTACGCATGAGTAGTAAATGCTTGTCTAATTAGCCCGAATGGAGACGCGCTGAACGGGATGAATGGATGCGCGCTCTACAAGGATGGATAATTTGTAATCTTACGGTCATTCGAAATGGTTACCTCGTGCGTTATTGGTCAAGTCTCATAAATTGAAGCATTTAAAATGACATATTAACTTTGAATTACAAGTAATCTGAACTAATGAGAAACCAGACAAACTAACATACCTGCTCCGTTCTAGCTGTCAGTGTGACTCACTTGTGTTTCCTTTTTCCTCGAAAGATCTGACCTGTTTGGTTTTGATAAATGTTTTTCGCTGAAAAGGGACCGATTAAATATTTTCTTAGGTAGAATATATTTTGGGGTAGAACAGGTCAAGTTGCGTTAAACAAACGAACCAGTTCAGAGGATAGTAATATTTATTAGTGCTAATGGTGGCTTTTATTGGTTGATGCAAGATGATTAGAATTAATTTGTAGCGTACACAGAAATTCGATAGATTACATTTATCAAGTTAGATACTATTTAGAAGATGTGGCATAGTGTAATATGAAGCGATTTCGCGGAAACGTACTCTTGAAGCAGATTATAATTTAATGTGAAATTAGTCGGGGCGCGTATGCGCGTAAGCGGATGTAGACGAAGTCGTAGCGAACCGTTGTAACTTTGTAATTGCTGCTTCGGTCTCAGGTCCTTATCCAATTTATATGCATTAATCTAAAGCGCGATATGCAGTTAGCTCAGCTTAATTAGCCCAATTCGCAGTAATGAGGATGCAACGTCGATTTTATCGATAGATCAGTGAGCGTTGTGGTTGTAAACATTAATATAAATCTAATCATGTCTCAATAAGCAATAAATATATGGATTATATGTCATATTTGTAATTGCTCTTCTATTCGTTTCTATTGAAATGTATTAGAAGTTTCTTTCTATTAATTTTTAGCGACTTTTGACATATGACATATAATTCATATCTTTTCTTTCTATTTTATTATTACATCGATTTATAATAACATTTTTTAATTGTATAAAAAATTTTTTTTCATGTTTTTATTAATAGTTTTTAACTTTTTTTACAGATATTTTAAATTACGCAGTAAAAGATACATACGTAATAAAAAATTAAAATAATCTTAAATCAATCAATAAGTTTTTCATTTTTTTGTCAAACGGAAAAACGTATTAACTTCCTACTTGAAAGTTTTCAGTAACGAGTTTGACCGCAATGAAAAGTTCGATATACTTTTGTCTTTTGTTAGAGACCTATAGGAAGCTCCTTGCGCAAAAGATGAGGAAGTCCGAGAAAGGAAGCTCGCTCGTATCGCGCTTTCAAGATTACCGACGCAACAAAAGATTCAAAGGGAAATAATAAATCGTAAGCGGCAATTTGTGACGCGCGTGTGTATATATATATCACTTCTTACAAGCGTCAAAGAGGCGTAACAAGGTTTGTCGCGACGCCTGCGATTTTTATCACCCGTCAGGTTTTGCCGTGGCATTTTTACCGCGATGCATTTTTCAGGAATCCGAGAGATATTTCTGCTACTTTTCGCTCGCGCAATCCGCTCGGCGACATCCTTCTGACATCTCGTCAAGCGCATCAAGCGTAATGGTTCGTTTTGTGCGTCTTTTTTTTTTAAACTCGTTAAACTCGATGGATTTATTTTTAACGCGTCAAGTGCCTTTTGAAATTACATGCAGATCAACCGAATTGTTATTATTTGAACGTTTCGCACAATATCTCGCGTTTTTCAAACATTTTTGCGCGTATCGATCCGACATTGTAGAGTCGTAGGGTTTTATAACAAAGTTGTTGAAAAATAATCGCCGCACATTAATCGTCAATTATTAAAATTTTTAATATAAATGCAAAAAATAGACACGACAGAGAGATGTATATATACGAATAACAATTTTATGTAAACTCTGCGATATATAACTTTTATATATAATTAATCTCGCTATAGAAATAATCGCTCGTCCGCGAAGATCCTATTGTTCCATCGTCGCGAGATTATTCATCCTATTGTTTGATTTGCAAAATTTAAACCATTTTATGTTCAGATTAACCGACGATGATCGCGAAAGGCTCCCGTTTATATAAAGTCGACATACGGCGCGATTTGATTTCTCGCTTAACGCGAATCGAACGAAATACATACCTTTTCTACGCGTAGTTTACTCTAATAGGGCTTTAAGCCCTCGTCGATGTTCGCGCAAAGACAGAACGAGTGGTCATGGTAGGAAATATGACTGAGGGAGGACTAGAGGCGGGATGCGATCGCCCGAGAAGGGCATGTGTTGCACGGGGGTTGCAACAGCAAGGCTGTTGCTGTATCGTGACAGAGAGAGAGAGAGAGAGAGACACAGAGGGAGGAGGAAAAGGTGGAAGAAGGGTGGGCAGAGTGTGCACTCGTGATATTTGCTAATCACTGACAGCGACGGCTTTTAAGTACTGTCGAGCACATACGTATATATAATGTGCGCGCACTTACATTTGTAGGGTATTTCGCGGGCGTGTACACGCGTGTGTCCGCGCGGGCGCATGTATGGAGCGGTGAAACAAAAAAAAATGTAAAAAAAGATGAAGCGAGGCTTAAAAATTGGCAAATCCGCCGATCGGACGTCATCGGCGTATCGGTTATATCGGTACCGGTCGTTGTGCGGCTTAAAAATGAAATTGAACCTGTATCTCCCCGCTGTTGCCGCCGCCGCCGCCGCCGCCGCCGCCGCCAGAGTCGGTATATCAGGCAAAACGACAATTTCGTTTTGGCAACGCGAAGCGATATGGTTTAATCGCCTCGATCGTCTCCCCGCGCGCTCAAGTATCGGAGCTACTGTTTGACGTATATTTGACGTATTTAGCAAGCGGAAATGCGCCGATAAATGTGAAGGGTTGCAAATTTTCTCGCGTCTTACGGAACTGAAAGCTTCGGCCATTTTCGAGCAGCTACTTACGAATAGCTCTTTTCGATTTCATCTTCAAAATCTGTCTTACAAGAATCTCTCAATCTTATTTTATTAATCTTATCGTGTTTGGAATTTATGAATCTGTAGTGTGAAAAAAGATGCGCGTTTTAGAAATTATGTTCTAGGGAGCTATTATATGTTATCTATGCTATTTTGCAATTTATTCAATCAGAAACGTGTGAATTTTCGTCTCGCGAACTTGATCGCGATTCCATTCGTTTCTTTAAGTTATTATGAATCTTCGAGATTCCGAGCGAATCCAAGCCAATCACACTTTGATTGTCAATGATAATTTTCGTAATCTTATTCCAACTGGAATTGAGTTTCCATTCGTTCGCGAGGTGTCGGAAATATTCCGATCATTTCGGATATATTATTCGAATATTTATAATATATTAAGTGACGAAATTCGGAATAGAAAAGAAATAGCGATAAAATTCAGAGTTTTATGTTCGTTACTCAATTCTTGTGCACAATCGAAAATTATTGCTATTAATATATAATTATATATTTCAACGCAGTAATATAAGGTATAAATCGATTGCGAATAGATTCTTATAAACAGATGCCATTATAAGAAAGTAAATTAATACAAGTGACAACGCACATACACTTTTTTTGTAAAATAAAATCAAATTTACATGGTATTGATCTTTTAAATTTTATTAAGTTGATCCAAATTTGTTAGGATTTAATTTAAAACACACATTTATTAATGCTCGCTTATTAGTCAGATTATTAATTTTAAAATTATATTTATAAAAAGTTGTGAAATGAATGAGCGCAATCACGCTTTCAGAGTAGCATATAATTGATTTTAGATCACGCGACATCATCTGACGCAGTCGTCGATGGCGGCGACACGGAGCTCGGTCACTTGAGCGATCATCAGATCAACGATGCGTTGCACGATCCGTTGAACCTGGGTGAATCCGATCGTCCACGCAAGGTACGAAGGTCTCGGACGACTTTTACAACCTATCAACTACACGAACTCGAGAAGGCTTTCGGGAACACGCAGTACCCGGATGTGTTCACCAGGGAGGAGCTGGCGATGAGGCTGGATCTTTCGGAGGCGAGAGTACAGGTACTTTTGATGAACGATTGAATCTGGAAAGATAACATGTGGTAGTTGAAAAAGGTTTCGCGGAAATGACAAAAATTCTCGCGAACGTTTCGAAATGAATAAAGTAAGTTAGAAATTCACGACAGACGCGGCTTTAATAATTTTTCAAATAAATCTGAGAAATAACTTGTAATAAAATATAATAAAATGTATATTATTATATTATAAAAAATATAATAGTAAATGTAATAAATTTAGATGAAATTGTCTAATGTTAGTTCAAAAGAACAATGACATTGCCGTTATTAAATATCGTGTTTCACAAGAATAAAATATAGTCTCGACACTCTCGATCGCCGTGTACTTTCAAAAGATTAGCTTATGTCATTTCCGTGCAACGACCGGCTTGAATATTCCAAATGCGGCTTGAAGAGAAAGAGGGAAGGAAGTCGGGCCAGATTTCGCCAGACGACGAGACAGTTGCAGAAGCATAATTAACCTTTCGCCGCTTTGGCTGGACGAATTCACAAAGCCCGAAAGGCACGCGTGTGTCGCTGAATTTCACGCATTTGATAGTGGCATTCGCAAGTTTTGTAAGTAGTTTAAATGACGAGCTTTAGATTCGACCCTAGGACAAAGAAGTTTAAAAGGCTATTTGCGAGCTCGTATAAATTTTATGTTAAATATAGGGAATATTATTAAAAGGAAAATCGAGGCAATGTAATGTGTGCTAATAATATTATGTATCAATAATACAACAAAACTTGTTTGTACAGCCATATGTTGTTATTTATAATTATATTAAATTTAAACTTGTTTCTCGCATGAATAAATCTAATGTTGTCATAACATTATATAGGGATTAGTGTATGCAGATAGAATGCAATGAACGTGTATAATAAATTGATTTTCACATGCAACAATCGTCATGCGAATTAATTTCTGTATGGATCTTATACGGAGGTAGACGGATTCTGACTAGCGTCGAGCATCCTCGAGTGTTTGTAGGATTGCGACTCAGTTTCAAGGCGCGAGTCACTTAACTAATTAGCGACTATTGTATCGCAAAATTTCACGCTACCGTTTTCCATCTATAATTTTGCGAAACACACGCTACGCCTCGAATCCATCAATGGTTAATTCCACAGAAGGGGGGTTGCTCCGTATATAGAGAGCAGTGTAATCTGCTTTGGAATTACTTTAAAGCAGCATCCTTGAAAATTCAAGTACGCTGCAACGTTGGGGTGTAGCTCAATCCACAATAACTGCTAGACATCTCGCTATTCATCTCTTCTATATTCGTCTATGTTCTCTCTCTCTCTTTCTTCGAATATATCATTTTAAAAATAAATTAATTTTCACGGTATACATATAATAATATATGTACTTGTACAATAACAAATAGATTTCATTAAGTCTGAGAGGATATTATATTTGAAACTGTTAATTTATAATTTGTTTAAATTATCACGAAATTAATTAACATTGGAGAAAAAAATTATCTATCTATATAAAGAGAAGAATGAGTGCACATTATATGATGCGGTAGCGATTTTTGACAGATGTTGGATAAGGGAAAAACCTCTTATTGATTTCCTCAAAGAACCAATATCCTCGAATCAGTGCGTCTTTGGAATCGCCCGATTCAATTGTTTTATTCTGATGTACGACAAAGAAACTGTCGACACACAAGGAGTAGGCACACACTTGTACGCATTTCTGCACTTGTGTGCGTGCGTCTAGTATATTTTATATGTATATCGACACGGATGAAAGAGAGAGAGAGAGAGAGAGAGAGGGCGCGAGAAAGAGAGAGTGCGAAGGGTTGTGCGTGGAGCCGCCGGCGGAAGGGTGGCGATGATGCTGAAAAGAGATGGAGAACATTCCGATTGGCCCATTGTGGTACAGCGGAGCGACAATGCCGGCAATTGGCCGTCGCTCGACAAAACCGCTAAATGATCTGCCGCGGCGCAGCCGATGTGCCACGGCCACTTTATTTCAATCTAGGAAATCCTCCTGTTCTCTCCCCCTCTCTCTTTCTCCCTCACGTCGATTTCGAGATGCGAAATTACCCCCATTTTTCGATATTAACCCAGCTGGCCGATATATCGATGATCGCGCGTATGGTAACGCAATCGCGAGTCGTTTCTGACGTTTCCTATACCCTGGACCGGCGATTCGCGATCGCTCGACGTTTCGAGGGAATTTTCAGTTTTTATATGGACATCGCGACGCGATATTTTATATGAAATTTTTACGAATTACTCTTCACTGCATTATATCTATTCACTGCAATATATTCTGGAAAAAAATATTCTTTTTTTTTTATTTAATATTTTTGATCAATCTGGAATTTATTTTTACCTAATATATCAATGTCGTATAGTTTTCAAATTATATATGCGATGTATATTAAATTATCACAATTCTCTCTCAAAAAAAGTTCAAGGAAATATCTATAAGTTTTTCGTAATTCTTTCTCGGTATAGTCTATCGGATATATTTTAATAAATAATGCATGTATTTTTTTTATTAAAGTGAAAGAATCTATCTTAAAGACAGGAGTGTATTAAGTCAGAGAAAAATAAGAACAAATCATATATACGTAAGAATTTAATAGAGAGAGAAAGAGAGCTTATTAAATATTTAATTAGAAAAGCATATTTATACTTGAGTTATAAATTCGACAAAGCATCCTCAGATCCATACATAGGACTGTGGAAATATTACTGACCGCCCATGGTAAATGATTTGAGAGATTAATATAGGGCAGTTATGGAAACGCTTTGGCGTTGCAAACTTTCGAGTTCGCGGTGGGTCGCTTAAATGGCGCAAGGTTTGTGAGCACTTAGGCGTTAAAAGCTATTCAGAAGCGATTAAATAATTAACAGCAATTAGGCAATTAAATTTCCTGCCCTCGTCTCGCAACGCTGACCTCTTTCCCTCGCTTCAAGTTATTCCTCTCTTTCTCCTCAATGCCACTTGCTTCTCTCCGGTTGCGTTCTCGATTTTCCCACGTCGCTTGATTTTATTCTGCTATTCGACCGAAACTAACTTGCTAATTTGTTTCAATCTAACTGGCAGTAATTCACAGCTATATTCGATTTTTAAGTTAATTATAATTAATGTCGTTGTATATGACGTATCATTAATTCATAGTGATAAATCATAATCTCTTATTTCGAATTTGCATCTTTTGTGAGAAAAAATTAATAAATTATACAGATATAGATAAATTATATCAAATTTACTTTTATTTTTATTATTAGTAATTTTTTTGCACGATTTATTCTTTTAATTATAATATAGATTATATTTAACACTTCGTATTCGTCGGATATTATATATTATGTACATTGTATATTTACGCAAGTTTATTTTTTATATCTAAATTTTTAAATGGTTTTTAAAATATTTTTTTACATTTTTTAAATATATTATTAAATCTGTGCATAATGTCTAAGGTATAATAAAAAATTTTCCCTCTTTTTTTTCTTTCTTTTCTTTTTTCTATTCCGTTGCTCCTCCGCTGGTACCCACGAAAAATCGGAGCAGCTCGAGCGGAAAGCGAAAGCATTTATACGGCAACCGGACTAGCGATAGGGTCGTCGGGGAGGATAGACGAGGATAGAAACGAAGGCAGGGGTTGCTGGCACTCAGGGGTACGAAGGAAATCAGGATAATTGTTAACAATTAGCTTAATCAACCTCGAGAGCAAGCTTTTGTTGGCCGCTCTGATACGCGCGCCTGGGGTTCTCATACGTCTTTTCTGCCAATTTCGGATCTTCGTGACGAATGTCCTAATATTTCGATAATTCCGGATCAACAGTGATGGCAAACTCTATAATCTCGTAACAGACTAATTGGGCTAGTATAAAATAATTATAGTGTTTTATTGAAAATATTGTAACAGATTATTTTACTATATAATTTTTTTAAAATGAATACAGAGTAATTGTGTTCAATGTTGATCGATGTTGTTGTAAAATATTATTTGCTGTTTCAGGTCTGGTTCCAAAATCGACGTGCAAAGTGGCGCAAGAAGGAAAAAGCATTGGGCAGAGATACCAGTTTCATGCATGTCGAGCAAGGTGGTGAGTTTATTAAAGATAATAATTTAAATCAAATAATTTTAATTATGATATAAATGAGACTTTCTGCTTTCTATACAAGTAAAAAAGATACTTTTTAATAATACAAATAACTTTTTGTAATTGTTGATCCATTAGATATTTTGACAAAATTATTACAAGTAAATTATCACGATTTGTAACATTGTAGCCCCATTTATAATGTCACGGTTTAAGTAAAAAAAAAAAAAATTATTGAATCAGAAAAATTAGCTCGTATCTACGATAATGGACTGATTTGTCGCGAATCAATCGCGGAAGCTCGTTTTCATCCACCGTTTGCTTTCTCGCTTCGCTGTAACGTAGTAACGCGCGTGTTACGTCGCTAATACGCGCAAGAGAAGGGCGACGAGACCCGGAATTACGAAGGGTAGATGCAATCGGCGACAATTACGTCTAATTCAGTGTCGACCGTCGCAGCCATCACGCGCGAATGATATAGAATAGAAACGTGGCCGATTAATTTTTCATGGAACGCTCTGTGGATGTAAAGCTTGTACACGGCGAGCCGGATTGATGGCGAGAAAAAATTCTACTAATGGTTTTGCGACTCTATGTGACATCCGTAATCAATTTTATTAATTACATTCAATCGTATAAATTTGTAAATTGTTTTCTTTGTGTTAATTCGTGAATATTATTGCGACGTTAATGATAATGCTTGGATAGAAAAAAGGTGAAAATGAATATCTTACATTTGTATTATTCTGATTTAAAAGAGTTAGAAAGAAGATGGAAAGGCAGAATTTTTATTTTCTCTAAACTAAAAATAGACATAAAAGCGGAAGTACATTAACAGTCAAAGTAAATTAACTCTTTATGCTTTTAATGCACATTAATATTTCTTTAAAATGTTTTGGCGTTTTACTAATTTAATTGATTTATTATATATGTATATAAAAATATGATTTATTATATATTTACTGCGACTAAGAAAAAATTTCAATGCAGTGATAATTAGATTATTAAAGTACAATTACAGTTTTTTTAAGCATATAAATATAGATGAATAAAATATATATTCAGTATTATAATAAACACGAGTGATAAATGATGAATGATTATATCAATAGATAATAATAGATTATAGATGTCAGAATATAAATTAGATGAACGTCTCGCAAAGAAATATTCGCAGTGCAGAGACTTAAAGCAATTTGATCCGCAGAAAAATCTGACGCTACCACCGTCACGACTTCTATTCGCAGGTGTAAATGAATTGTCTCTTCACGCGCGGCTTCTACAAACGGCTGGCGGGGTCCCAGGTGCGGATTCCTCCGGTCCACCGACCGGTGCGTTTCCTTGGTTCATCCCGCCGGTTTTCCCGCCACCCTGGCCGACGAGCGCGCCCAAGTTACCCCCTTTACACGCTATCCTGTCGCAATACATCGGACTGCCGTTGTCGCAGAATCTGGCGTCGCTCAGCACGATGTTGCCGATTAGCGTTAACCCGAGCTCGTCATTGAACCACAATAACATGAACGGCCACTCGCTGGGCGGCCATCTGCACGGCGGGCATCCTCTGAACCTGGGGGTGCAGAGTATACCGCAGAACCTGAGCTCGAAGAACGACAAGGACGAGGACTCGGTGTCGTCCGATGACGAGATCAGGAAGCAGAGTGCGGAAGTGCTGAGAGTAAAGGCGGAGGAAGTGCTACGCAAGGCGGACAATTAACTGTGAGAACTCTTATAAACTTTTGTAAATATGACGAACTTGTTCCCGGGGAAATTTTACCCATATTTGATACCAGCGTAAATGTTTTGAATTTGCGGTCTGCGCGTAAAAAGGATTTTCTTATTTATTAACAGGTTTGGAGAGATTTACCTCGTTCGCAACGATTCGATATCGATTTTCAATGTGTTTTGATATATTCATTGTTCCGGAAGGAAACGCATTTATTTCAGATTTTAAAGTTAATTTGAAGAAAATTTTAACACTCATCGTGGTGTCCTAATAAAGAATTATTTATAATTTATTTTTGTATTATTCGGAATATTTTGTAGGATCAAGGCCTAGAAATCGAGTGTTGCATGTGTTTGAGCAGTTAGTAAAGGACATTTGATATTAATTTTAATTATTTGTTGGATAGGTTCTATTAATTTTGAACATATTTGATCGGCATAGCTCAATATGATTGAATGATTTATACACGATGTTTAATTCTAATTAGAAGTCTGTGCAAGATGCAATCATAAATTTACTATTTATTAGTTATCAATATTAACCCTCAGTTACCTCTCTGGGTTACGTTAACCCATATCAAAAATGATTTTTTCGAAATTTTAGATCACTTTTCATTTGTTCTCAAATATCTCGAGTCGTAGAAATCTGATGACATTTGCTTTTTTTTTACTGTCTGGCGTATCGATTGAAAAAAAAAAATACTTCAAAATAGCTTCATTAGATCCAGAAATATAAACAAAAGAAGAGTCTGGGTTACTCTAACCCATGAGTGGTAAAATAGGGTGGCCAAAAATGAGTAATAACTGAGGGTTAATTAGTTGTATGTAATAGCATACACATGTCCTTTGATCCAAAGCGGAAATACATCCAGAAACTCGAGTATTGTCTTAATCATCGTGATTTGAAATTAAATTATTAATTAATAATTATTAAATTTATAATTTATAATACTTAATAATTAATAAATTTTAAATAAATCCTGAATAGATAAAAATACGTAGTTTTCTTCTCTAAGAATAAAATTAAAATTTTAATGATAAAATAACCTATGTCAATATTAATTAAACATAGAAAAATAGAACATATTGAGTTTACAATTATAATTAAAAAATTTTTTAATTTATTATATTGTATTGTATTACAATATATTTAATATGATTTAAATCCTTTATTGAATAAATATAATTCACAAAGTTGGGGAATTACAGAAAACATTAGTAGTCTATGAAAAAAATATATAGTTATTTTGTCAAAATTTTCTTTCATCAAAATTTGCACTTTTAATTAAACACATGCATCTCGCTCTCTGTCTCTTTTCCTCGATATTAACATCGTCAATTTTCAACAAGTTAATTCATTGATTCCATCAGCGTTTCCGCGAAACATCAAAATGAGATTTCAGAGATACAGTGTCGCGTACAGCGCAGCGTTATATAATGTTATACTATATCGTTATTCTAATTATTTAATGCTACGTTGTTACTCGACGTTTAATATAACAATCTATTTCATCGATATCGAAAATTCGTTCCTCGAAGTGAATCAAGCTAATTGTTACACTGGGCTAAATACGAAACTAAAATATGTTATTTAAAAAATTGTTTAACGTGATAAATTACTTATAAATTTTTGAAAGTGAGACAACTCTTTTTGTTTATTTAATTAAATAATAGAATTACGGTGGATGCATCTAGACATTGTCGTACAAACATCGACAACCTAGTCGAAGCAGTGTACGTTACTATTTTAATTCTATTATCTAGATTAATATATTCAATTTAATTTGATTTGATTACGAAAATATAACGAGATGTCGTATTTATCCTGTGTCACAATTGCCTTTATCCTGGATATAAAAGATAGACGAATGCAGCCGTATAGAATTTCTTCCAAGTGCTCTACAGAATCTCGCCTGCGTATGTTTTGTATCAGGTGAAAATGTACTGCGCGCGAGAAGAAGTTTTGTAAAATATGTGTATCATATTCACATTAGACATGTTATATATACATATGTATCATATATATCAACTATAGACTTTGTGTAAATATGTAGGTTATTCATTAAGTTAAAGAAATATATTGCACTTACAAAGAATCAGGCAGAACTATATATATATACATATATATAAATCCTACCGAAATTAATATTGCTTTGCCATTAATTGACAGTTTTCTTTAAAAAAAAATCGACCTTTAAAAGTTCGATTTTAAAATGAAGCAATAAAAATTTCGGATAATTATTAAAATTATAATCGTTTAAATAAAGCAAAAAAACAATTAATTGATATATTGAATATCTAGGATTAATTAAAAAAAAAAAAAAAAAGAAACGATTTTGGCGGCGGAAGAAAGTAAAGGGTGGAGAGCTTATAGGAATCATCAGGAAACGCCACTGATTCCAATCCTCGAAATATTTCAAGTAAGTACAGCAGTGATCTTTGCGTATCACGGTTAATAAGCCGCAGGTGCTTTTTCGCAGCCGTGCTTTCGCCACCCTAATTCGCCCCGTTTGAAGGCAATTCACAAGGGGTAGAGGAGAGGAGAAGGGTGCGTACTACAAAATCGCTTCCGCGTCATTAATCACGAAAAGATTTGGCGTATCGGCCGCGTCATTACGACAATTTCCTGAATTCCGCGTGCAGCTGGCAGTGCTGCACCCGCACGAACCCCGAATTCCCACGGATCCTAAACGCCCGCGCGTTTAATCGCACCCCTCCTTTCGGGCTGCACGCATTTTCCGTCGTCGAAAGTGAATTTCGTTCGTGAAGAGAGCGAGGGAAGGGAGACCAGGGCGCATCCCGGGCGTGGACGCCGGTAACACGCACAACGGCAATTACAATCCGGCCAATTTATCCGCGTTATCAGAAATTTATCTGTCGCGCGAAGGGGCGAAGGCCGCACGGCGAACGCGAGAATTATCGTTATCGTCGGCGCGTTATCGCGCGGGAAGGTAATTATTGCACCACCTGCTTGGCGGTCTCGATAAAACGCTCGGATAACGTAGAACGGGTGAATGATATTTTATTTTACGAGGCAATTCGCGTGGAGACTTACAGGTGAAATTTTTACTGACGCGTCCGAACTGCTTTTTAATCATTTATACGGAACTAAAAAAAGAGGAGAAAGGGAGAAAATATGGAAAGAGGTCGACAAAGACGCGGCGACGAATGGATACGTACATTTTCGTGAGTTTTTTAGGCAAAGAAAGAGTTAGAGGGTTCAGACATTTTATACGGCCACATTAAGACAAGTACGCACACGCTTTCGAAATCTGCCGCTTGCGTTTTAGCTCAACGACCGTGTCGCATAATGCCACAAAGTAGATGTCGCGTGTTAAATGGAACCATTAGAAAGAAACGCTCAAGGTCCACTTCCCTCCGATTTCGTCCGTCAGACCGCGTTGCTAAAATTTGGTTTTGGTCTTATCAACTTTTGACATTGTTTTCAGAACAGCGAGCAGAGTAAAGTAGTTAAGACGATAAGATAGGAAGATCAAATAGAAGATCAAAGTTATTGGATGAACAATTTTTGAGAAAAAATGTCTATTTTTTAAATTATCTCTTTATTTTGTAAATTAAGGCATGTTTATAATTTTGAAAGCTTGAGAAAGCTTGGAGTTAAAAAGTACAATAACTTGTTGCAGGACGTTATTATTAAGATAATAGAAAACGGCAAAACCGAAAAGTTAAAAATTTTAATTATTTATATCATATCTACATTTCATTTCTTATTTGTAACATGTCGAGATTTATCTCTAAATGACTCCCCTTACTTTTCTCAAAAAATATATTTGTTACAATTAATCAATACTTGAGATAAAATTAGAAAGAAAGTTATCGAGTTATATTTATCTTAAAATAGTCACGGGGTTGATTATTTCTCGGAGAAATTTGTCATTTGCGCGAGACACGAATTACACCCTAGATTTTTCGAGATAGAATAGAATAGAAAGGAAGTTTCCGACTTTAAGTGCAAGTATGTCCCAACGGATATCACGGGGCATTTTTCTCTCTTTGCAGGATGCTGCAGCCTAGAGGATGGATCACAGTTGAATACCACTGATCGTGATCGCGGTTGCTATGAAGGACAATTAGATTAAAAGCAGCGCCTCTCGCGGCGGCTTGAGATCCATTAGTGCCCATTGTACCACCCCATTTGCACCCCCGACGTCCATTCCTCGTCCGCCCTCTTCTCCGGAACAGAGTACCCGTCTCGAAGCCAGGTACTTATTCTCAATAGTAATATGCTCACTTTATACTTCCACCTCTTCTTCGTTTCCTGCGTTTCTCCTTTCTTTCTCTCTCTCTCCTTTTCTTTCCCTTCTTCTTCTGCATTTCTTAACGTAGAAACATGACAAACTGCGTGTGATGTCATTTTAACAGAATTGCAAAAATTACTCGCGCGAAAATAGTCGTTAATGATACCAGCTTGGACGACTTTAATTAGTCCATCTATACCGAGATAAAGATTACTGTCATTTATATCCGTCATCATTAGTGCTTATTTTTCTCTCCAGACTATCCGCAATTTTGCTATGCAATTAGTAGTTAAATACTACTGTTTAAAAATCTGCAGGTTTTATTTGTTTAATTCAAATGCGCGCGATAAGCGCGATGAAATTCTGATGTGTACAATCAAAATCGATGATAGATTGGAATATATTTTAATTTTACTTGTTTCCAATTTTGTGATATAATATATGTAACGAAATTACGCGCGAGTATATTTAAACATTAATATTAAAGTTACAAATCTACATATCAATTTATAGAATTTATGCCGTAATTCAATCTCTCTTTTCATCCGACATTTCGCTCACGTAAACGTCGCAGCAAAACATTATTACGGTTTCTACATAAACTTCGCGTAAAACGGTTCATATAAAATCATAGATTAATTTGAGTGTGCAATCGAAATATATATAATATATTCCTAAGCATGCACGTAATGCAGTTGTAATAGCTCGTGGTTACCTCAATGGTTTCGCTTATACGCGGAGATATAATGCTTAGAATCGCGTAGACGAAACGCGTTATGATTTTTTTCAACGCTAATAATTCGTTGAGTGTCATTATATTTGAGAGATTAATGTTGCCTCCGCGAAATAATAATCGCTCTTGTGCGAGCATGCTCGATTTTCTGGGAACGGGAAATATGTTTTATAATAAAACAAACGAACAAGTAAATTTCTATTTCACTACTCTGTTGCGCCGACAATTAACAACATTTGTCTGTTTAACGTTCAGTTAATTCACGGTGTAATTAATCGATAAGTATGCTTCATAACGTATAATTCGGTCCGAATCGTATAATTTCGATATAATAATCAGAGTACAATATTATACTTATCTATTATTTGATTTAATGACAATATTTTTTGCACGCGCGAGGGATTTTGTTTTTATAAAATTCCTCGAATAAATATTTAGAAAAGAAGATTATATTTAAAAAAAAACTGGAATATTTTTTTTTGTCATTTTTTATTTGTGTCGTAAAAGTCGAATTTCTCAGAAAAATTCTTTCGCTTTAAATCCAAAAATGAACATATGTATAAATTAAATAGAGCTAGAATATTTTTGCATTAACACGTCTATAGTTTAATTATTCGATTATATTCGTGAGAATGTGAGAACGCGACAATCGACACTCGATTTTTATCTTTCGTGATATTAGAAAATAGGCTACTCGAAATTAACCGGTTCGGATACCCGATTTAGATCAGGATCACCCTATAATTTACGGCAAAGAATAACGTAAAACGTCCCGCTGCGAGTCGGGAGAAATCCCGCGTAAAGGGATACGTTCTGCGATTCTTGCCTGGACCTTTGAGAACCTCACTTGTTCACACGTTGTGAAGCTGGGTGTACGGTTATGCTTAAAAATTAGTGTCGTTATGACGCGGCTCTACA